TAATATATTTATTAAATAGATTTTTGTTTTAATAATAAAGAATATTCTGAATTTAATAATAAAAATCATTAAATAATAATATTTATACATATGTTAATATTTAATGAAATAAGTTGATTTAACGATGTATATCATTAAACAATGATATTTAATGATATATATCATTAAATAATGATATTTAATGATCTATATTGTTAAATAATATACATCAATGACTCTGATATATATTAATATATATCAAATATCTGTTGCAATATATATCGATGACTTGGATATATATCAATATATAACTAACGATACATATCAATACAAATCATCCCAAAAAATTTCCTGATGAATGGATGAGGCATCAGTGTGATTTATAATCATATACAAAGAAGAAAAAGAAGAAGGACTGGTGATATCAACATCAAAAAAATCTAAAAGTTCAACGAGAGCTGAAATACCATTACCAAAAATTGCCAGTTTGTCATCATCTTCCACAATAGTCACCTGATTGTTACCAAAAAAATATTGCCAAAAAGTAACCAGCTGTCTTCCATTTCACCAAGAAGTAATCACCATCTATCAATATCAACACCAATACCAACACCATCAACACCAATATCATCAATATCAACACCAAGGTTCGCTAAAAAACTGGAAATAATTGAGATTAAAGGTATTTTATAAATGTGACTTTTTTAGTTATTTTTTTATTATAAATCATCTGAAAGCAAAAATAGATGATGATAAGTGGAAAGAAGAAATAGAAGATAAACAGGAAGAAGACAAACTGAAAAAGCAAATGTATAATAAACTGAAAGATGATAACGATGATGATGATGACGATAATAATGACGATAACTATATTATTTTGAAAAAAAGATGAGCTAAAGATAAGTTAAGTAGTTATTGAATTTTTATTTATTCCTTTTTTATTCTGTTTTTGTTCCTTTTTTATTAAAAATCAAAAGCAAGTCTCAAAAAGCAAAGGCTAGATGGAAATATGGAAGAGATAAGGAAGCTAGAAGAGAAAGAGATGAGGAAACTAGAAGAGGTGATGGTAGCAATAAAAGAGTTGTAACTCGTTCCTGAAGAGTATTCAATAAAAGAAAGGGACACATAAAATAGGTAAGAGAAATTGCCAGTTTTTATCTGAATAATAATTTTTGTAGCATTTGCTTTTTTTTTAGGTTAGGTTTCTATCAGTTTGGCTTTGACAAATGTCTTCTTACTGCTATTTCATTTTTATTCATTATTCCAATTTTTATTCCAACTTTTTTTACTTAATATTTTTTGTTCATTATTCCAGCTTTTTTTTATTTACTATACCAACTTTATTCTGACTTTTTTTATTCATTATACCAACTTTATTCTGACTTTTTTTATTTAATATTCCAGCTTTTTTTAACTCACACTTCAATATTTCTCTACCATCAATTCCAATATTTCTCCACTACAATTCTGATATTTCTTTACCATCAATTCTAACATTTTTCCACTACAATTCCAACATTCTTTTACCATTAATTCTGACATTTCTTTACTATAATTCTAACATTCCTCTACCATCAATTTTAACATTTCTCCACTACAATTCTAACATTTCTCCAATTATTATAAAAGCAATAGAATATTCAAATATAAATATATAGAACATTTAGAACAGTAAATATATAGAACATTTAGAATATTTAGAGCACAATCTATAATTATATAATAATAAATATAATTTTATATCCGTCTAACTTTCACTTATATTCTGACTCTATTCCAGAAAAATAAAAAAAAGATCCTGTCTAACTTGCATATAAATTTTGACTTTATTCCAGAAAAATCCTGTCTAATTTATATATATATTCTGATTATATTCTGGAAAAATAAAAAAAGATCCCATCTAACTTGTCTATATATTCTGACTCTATTCCAGAAAAAATAAAAAAAGATTCCAGAAAGTATTAGATATTTTTCCGGAAATTTATTAACAAAACCATTGAATTTCTGGATTTAAATCAGATATTAGAAATCAGAAAAAAATCCGGAAATTTTCAGACTCAAAAATCAGGAATTTTCCGGATCAAAAACAGCCCATTTTTTTTTACAGGATAAAGGCATCATGTTCGAGGATCAGATTGCTACTTCAATCTGAGAACATATCTGACTTAACCAATTAGTGTCTATATTACAAAAAGATGATAACGTCTATGTTACCCATTCATATATGGAAACTCTTGAACGGATAAGATGCGTTCACTGTGAAGATACTCGGTGGAAGTTTTTCATCTCTTTGGATGCGTTGGACACTGCACTGGATGCTATTAAAAATATCAATGTGTACGACGTTTTTCCAGAATGTGAATGGGTTATTGGCAATTCAGGTGTTCAGGGTTTGTATACAGCTCCCTTCTTAATTATTTTTCATCAAGGGGAGGCAAAGGCAGTCTGTTTAGACAATCTAGACGTTTTAATTCTCTCTCAGCTTTTTGAAGCTAATGTTGATCCCGATTTATCGGTGACTCTCTTTGTTATTCATTTTACCTTGATCGAGCTCGCTTTGCCGTAGAAGTGATTGAAATCGTCAATCAATTCAAGGACCACGAATTAGATTCCACAAATCTTGGACTTCCCTTATTTAACCAAGTTCCAGATCAAAGCTTGACCGACGCATTAGACATTGTACGCGGTGCATTTTCGACAAAAGTTTTGGACATAATTTCATCAGTTGCTTGTATATTGCCAGGAATCAAAATTCAGCATAAGAGCAAGTAGGACAGCAGGTTGAGAATCGCTTTGCACTGAACTCGAAAAATGGGTAAAATTAAAAAAACCCATTTTTGGCAAAAGTTAAATACGCCAAGAAAACTATTGAGCAAGTTCACGTCAATATCGCGGCTGAAAATTCTGAAGAAATTTTTATGCAAGCTATCGACTCCATTTCTACTGATCCGCAGTGTCTGGTTAATACAAGAACAAGCATTGAGAATTGGAAAGAGTCTAATTTCAAGTCACAATGTTTGGGAACGATTAATGTTTTGAACGAACTCTCTATTAGCCTTGCTAAAGAACAATTTTTTCATGTACTAGAAATGGTTTCTCTTTTGAAACAATTGAGTCAGACTTCCAGTTACGAATTCTCCACAAATATCTTCCAAAGCATTATTCAAAAATATATTAATAGGTTACCTTTCAATCGAGAGCCGTTCAAAAGTTGTCAGCAAAAGATTACTAAATCGATCGGTTTCTTACCTAAACTTGTTTCACAATTGGCAGAGTTGAATTATGATCCTCGATTATACAAGCTGCATCAAAAATTAAAAAATATAAAGACAAGCGGTTTCGACGAAAAGGCTATTATGAATTTTTTTGATCTATTATCGGACGAGCGATTTGAAAATGAATATTATGAGAAACTCTGGATGAATTCTAGATTTATTTATTTAATCCGTAATTCACCAATTGCGATACCAAGAGTTGCTTCGTTGTTGCAAGAATCAAATATTACAGAGTGCCCGAGTTACGTACCGCAGGATATCCAAGAACGCTTGAACGAATACCGGAACAAAATTTCCGAGCATGAAAATATTACAATGCCAAAAATATTGAACAATATTGATGAAGTGATAAAGTTTTTAAGCTTATGGTCAACCGAAAAGAAATATATGCACCTGAAGAATAATTCCATCTCAAAAAATGCAGCATTAGAAAATGCATTCGAGTCTGCTGATGCTTTATTTTATTGGAATAAAGAAGAAAAACATATAAAGGAACCTTGGGAAGCTCAAACGATTAAAAATGCACTTCAAAACCTTGAACAATGGAAAAGGAATTTGGATATGAACCAACCAAAACTTCCATTACTGCCAATTTCAATTTTGTTTTCGAAAGCAACGATAAGAATTCCAGTGAATGCGATAAAAAGGTGTTAAATGTGCACAAAAGCTGGAACCAAATAATGGGTGAGAAAATCTCAATGGTTGGAACAAAAGACTATGTTAAAGTATGCGTGATTATTCCAACGCCAAAAATTGATGCAACTCAGTAAATTACCTGCGTGAACCAAGTCCTTCCCTATCTTATGCAAAAAGTAAAAATGTGGGGTTGCTACGCGCTTACAACAAATAATATCTCAGCTCTAATGATAGTAGAACGAAAAAAATATTAATAATAAATCTGGTCCTTTTAGTAAGTCAGTGAGAACGACACCTTCGTTTGGCCAAAAATCAAATAATTACCCGCCTCTAGCTTCGAATACACTTCAATCAAAGAAAACTTTTCTGGCTAGATTTGATTGTATTGTTGGATTACTTACCTCGGTTAATTGTATAGTAGCTCAAGATATTTTACGTATAATGGCCAAATTTCCAATGGCACTGCCTCTTGTGATGCCAGATATGGAGCATGAGAACGAATATAAATTAATGCTCCCCCTTCTTACCGGCCCCATAATCAAATGGAATCAAAATCTGGAAAAATCGTTGAAAACCATCTCTTCAGGAGCCTATTTAAATTACTTGTCGCTGTTCGACTTGGAGAAAACCAGAAAGCACCGGGAAAAAGTTCTATAGTGAATCAGTTAATGCACATGTTTTCTTCTAGTAGTGAGCCTGGCGCATCTCGAGGCAAACCGCACACACTTTCTGGAAGTGTTGAATTAACTTGGCTTATTCAAGAAACTTGCAGTGCCGGTCTATGGAAATCTGTCATGCAACCCTACTATGAAAGTGAAACTACA